TAAAGAAGGCGGTAGTAGGTAAAATGTTACAAAGGACAAAATGAAAGGGGCAGAGAAGGTTTTCATCACATTTCCTCATGTGTTTTTAGCAGATTTTATAGCCTCAAACAGGAAATTACTAAGGAATTAATAAAATGATATACTTTGTCTTTCAGGTATGGGCACTAGAAAGAAAATTCTTCCATCGAGCTCAACTGTTCTGTTATTCATTTAATGACTTGCCCTCCTGTTACTTAAGTATAAATTAGATAGAACTGTGTCTTTTCTGCTTTGTCTTTTCAGTTTGCTATTCCTGCAGCCATATTGTATTCTGTGTCAAATAAAATCCAGTTGGATTCTAGAATAGATGCTGTCTCTTGTGTATGTGAAAAAAGTGAACATAAAGGCTGGAAAGCCAGCTTTTGAAAGTGACATGTTTGTTCATTAGAGCAGAGTTGTCCTGTGAGTCTGCCGCTTGGTCACCAGGGATCCCGATCCACAGCCCGCTCGCTGATGGCAGCCTTGGGTAGGTCATCTCTCTGCTCTTCCTTTCCCTTTAGAACGGCTAAAAGGCATCATATGCGCACAGAAAGAGGCTTTGTAAAATGTAAAACCACTATACAGATGTTAACTTTGACCATGTGTGACATGTTGCTTTCTCTTCTTAGTTTAGAAAAATAAACCGGAAAAAATCTAATACGTAATTTTGGCTGGCGAAAGAATAATTTGTAGGCTCAAGCTGAAAATTGGTGTCACTTAGAATGGAATTGAAAAAGAAAATTCAAGTTGCCTCTGTCACCACCATCTTTTGTAATTTGTTCAAAATGTCTTAGCCATGGGGACGCCTGACTGGCTCAGTCAGTAGAGCATGCAACTCCATCTTGGTTGGGGTCATGAGTTTATGCCCCGTGTTGGGCAGAGATTAAACAAAAAAGGCTTGGCGATGAAGGAATTGCCAGTTCTAAAACTAATTCAGTGGTGATCATGTAGTCTTTAGCTGAGAAAGTCGAGTTTACTGTAGCGGTTCTCAAACAAGGGTCTGAGGACTCCTGGGGGTTCCTGGACTCTTACAGGAGATTCATGAAGTTCCTTTTCCACTACATGTCTGTATGAGGCCAGCTTTTCCTTACAAACTTCAACCAAAGTAACACACTGAATGAAGAAGCAGGCATGAGAATCCAGCTGTCTTCTATTAGATATAAAAGAGATATGCAGAGTATAAAATCATGCCACTCTTTAATTTTTTTTGTTTTGAAAAATAGTGGCTTTTAATAAAAATATTTATGTTAACATGTGATGGTTTTTGTTCTTTTAATCTTTTTAATTTCTTGGTTTACATTCCATTATGGTAAATGTAGATATTTACTCACAAAAACAAAAATTCTTTGAGGTCTTCAATTTTTAAGATCATCTAGGGATCTTTAGAGTAAAAAGTTTAAGAATATCTAGGGGCGCCTGGGTGGTTCAGTCGGTTGAGCGTCCGACTTCAGCTCAGGTCATGATCTCACACTCCATGAGTTCAAGCCCCGCATCGGGGCCTGGAGCCTGCTTCAGATTCTCTCTCTCTGCCCCTCCCCCGCTCATTCTCTCTCTCAAAGATGAATAAACATTAAAAAATTTCTTAAACTTTTTAATGTTTATTGTTTATTTTTGAGAGAGACGGACACAGCATGATCAGGGGAGGGGTAGAGAGAGAGAGGGAGACACACAATCTGAAGCAGGCTTCAGGCTCTGAGCTGTCAGCACAGAGCCCAACGTGGGGCTCAAACCCACGGACCATGAGATCACGACCTGAGTTGAAGTCGGATGCTTAACTAACTGAGCCACCCAGGCGCCCCCCAAAAAAATTTTTTTAAGTTTAAGAATATCTAGCTTAGTTATTAAGAACTTTGAGGTCTTAATGAACCTGGATCAAACCCACCTTGCTCAGCTAACAGCACCAGGCACACAGCAAGCACTCACAAGGAGGTAGCTGCTATTGTTGGCTGTTAATTTAGGACCATCTCCCTCAGCAGAAGCATCCTCTTCTAAACCCCTTTCAAGTGGTCAAACTGTGTGAATACTTCAATAGCGAACACATTGCTTTTCACACAGATGACATTACATATCTGGGGAGATGGGCTTGAGTATTAATTAGTACCCTAGGCTGCAGAGTACAGAGATCCAGCTTCTGCTTAGGTAAGGGAAACTTACTGGCGGGTATGAGGCTATGTAATACAACAGAAGAAAGGGCTAAGGATGCGGTTGGACCCGAGAATGAATGGAACCAGGGAGGCACTGCTGGGATTCTCTGCCTCTCCGAGGACTCCCCTCCTATGGCAGGAAAACAGTGCCAACACTGCCGCCTCTTCTCCCACAGCTGCTACGTACGCGAGAGGGACTCACTCCAAGCTCAGATTCCCCAAATCCCAACTGGGTCAGGGGCCCATACCTGGACCAATGGGCACGTTTGTGTGGACAACAGTGACTGCCTTGAGAACCCCCATCGGAATGGAGGGTAGCCGTTCCCAGAAGAATGGGAGACAGACAACACAAGAGGTGTCTACTTCAAGACTTGCTAAGGAGTTTTTTTCCCTACCTTGAGCCAAAACATCTTGCAACAGACATCTCGTTATTCTTGTGTTGCCTCGTGAAACTGGTGGACATGAACCTTCCCTGAGATATTAGTGACATTACTGCTGAGTGCCTGTTGTGTGCCAGCCCAGAGGACACAGCCGCGTTAGACTAAATCTCTCCCCTGAAAGAGCTCATAGTCTAGCCGGAGGATCCTGGGAAAACAAATGAATATGGAACTTAATTCTGGAGAGCTCCACAGGGCTCAGACGTGGGCTTGATCTTGCAGTGCCCATTCTCTTGGTTTTCCTTCTCTCAACTCCTATGCCTTGGAAGGGCTCCTCTATCTCAGTCTGCCCTGAAGATTCCATTCTTGAAGTTTTGCTTTGTCTGAGAGACGGCATCCTCACCTGGAGTCACAATAGCAGGCCAGACCCTCCAGTGGGCTCCTGAGACCGGCCTGTGCGCATCTCTTCCCAGATCCACTTTTGGTAACCTCATGTTGGTAGTTTGAAATTGGCCATAGTGGGTGTGTTTACACCACAGGAATTGGGAAATGCTACAAATCAGAGCTTCCTTTCCGTGGAGAGCCGGTTGTTACCAGCACACCACTGCATAGTTAACTGTCTTTAGGATAGTGGTATCCAAATGTGTCCATTGTCTATCCCTGGCTGTGTGTCTCACAGGCACTTCAAACTCAACAGGTCAACGATGACTTTCCTTCCATTTTCCCAAAACATAACCCTCCTCCCGGATGACCTCTCCCGGTTAATGGCGTTGCCACTCATCCAATTCCTGAAGCCGCAGTCATTCAAAAAGCATTTTAGATGCTCTCCTCTTCTTTGCCCCTGTGTCTAATTAACCATTAAACACTATTCATTCCACAGATGTGCTCTCACTAAAACCTGTACCCTCTTCTCCATTCCCACTCCCACGGATGGAGTCTAGGTCCTCTTCATTTTTCTCTAAAATGATTGCAGGGGCACCTGGATGGCTCAGTCAGTTGAGCGTCTGACTCTTGATTTGGGCTCAGGTCATGATCCTGGGGTCGTGGGATCAAGCCCTGTGTTGAGCTCCATGCTGAGCGCAGAGCCTGCTTAAGACTCTCTCCTTCTGCCCCTCTCTCCCACTCACATGTGCTCTCTCTCTAAAATAAAATTAAAAAATAAGTAAGATGATTGCAGTTCCCTCCAACTGGTCATACTGTCATTTGTCTCTTGGCTACAAACCAAAGTGAATCTTTAATTTGGTCTGATGCCCCTTCCACTGGTTGAGAAATTCCCCACCTTGAAGAAAGCAGAAGTCATTTCCCATCATAGACTTTGAACCTCCCAGTTCCTGGCTCCTCCAATTTCCTTGCAGCTGGAACCAGGGAGGTTACCTAACCTTCACTAGAGACATGCACCCTGCCATCCATTACGGCCGTGGGCAGCAGCACCGGCAGCACCCAGGGCCCAGTGCAGGTAGCAGAATGGGTTATGACACCCAGTGTTGAACGGCCTCAACAGCCAGCACCTTCCCAAACTGGTTCTGTGGCATAATGTTGGCTGGGATCCCAGCTGCTGCCTGTTTTCTGAGCCCAAATCCCCATCATGCCTGGTGTTGCTGTGAACTCTCCAACATCCTTTCAGTGTCTGCTGTGCTAGAAAAATCAGTCAGCAATTTGGTTCTCAACTCTCAATATTATCCCCTCTCATCCCCACAACTTTTCCTTATCCACTCTTTTTTTAAATTTTAATTTTTTTTAATTTTACATCCAAATTAACATACAGTGCAACAGTGATTTCAGGAGTAGATTCCTTAATGCCCCTTCCCCATTGAGCGCATCCCCCCTCCCACAAACCCTCCAGTAACCCTCTGTTTGTTCTCCATATTTAAGAGTCTCTTATATTTTGTCCCCCTCCCTGTTTTTATATTATTTTTTTTGCTTCCCTTCCCTTATGTTCATCTGTTGTGTGTGTTAAAGTCCTCATATGAGTGAAGTCATATGGTATTTGTGTTTCTCTGACTAATTTCACTTAGCATAATACCCTCTAGTTCCAACCACATAGTTGCAAATGGCAAGATTTCATTCTTTTTGATTGTCGAGTAATACTCCATTGGATATATACCACATCTTCTTTATCCATTCATCCATCGATGGACATTTGAGCTCTTTCCATCCTTTGGCTATTGTTGATAGTGCTGCCATAAACATGGGGGTGCATGTGCCCCTTCGAAACAGCACCCCTGCATCCCTTGGATAAATACCTAGTAGTGCAATTGCTGGGTCTTAGGGTAGTGCTATTTTTAATTTTTTGTTCCAGTCCACTCTTTTTTCTTAAATAACTTCATTTATTTATTTTGACAGAGACAGAGACAGCATGAGTGGGGGAAGGCAGAGGGAGAGAGTCCCAAGAAGGCTCTGTGCTGCCATCACAGAGCCCAATGTGGGGCTCAAACCCATGAAGATGTGAGATCATGACCTGAGCCGAAGTCAAGAGTTGGACGCTTAACTGACTGAGCTACCCAGGTGCCCCTCTTTATTCACTCTTAAAACACTCCTAAAAAGCTCATCGTTTCATTGTAATGTCATCTGACATTTTCTACTCCTTTCCTCAGCCAAAAGAATAGTCTTCTGAGAGTCCTTGGTCTATCTTTTCCATTCCTTGTTCATGTCCCATGTTTTGATCAGGCTCTTTTCAAATCAGAACCCACTGGAGAGTCGATTCCCTGGGTAATGACATTATTTTATTTAGATGCTCCCTCTTTTCTATTTGGATCAGTTTTCGACCTACTGTTAGAACACCTTCCTGGGATTCTTGTAGGCCTGCTGTCCCGTCCCCTAAACTGGGCCTTCACCGCATGGTACACAGAGCCTCATGCAGCCTATAACTGCATGGCAGCATATCCTGGTTCTGCACATCCCCTTACAGCCTCACACAAGTCCTTTGGACTGATCCCAGAGCTGTGTTGTAGCTTCAGTTGGCCTTGCTTGACTTTCTGTGCTCCTTCCAAGAATATCTCCCACCCAATCCAGTCAAGCTCCTAGTCCCTCACCTCAGAACTGGCCCTGAGAGGCAGGTCCCCCTCCAGGCTCCTCTAAATACAGACTAGGCCCCTGCCACCCTTTCGGGCCCCCATCATGGAGGCTTCCTCTTTTCTCTGAACATTTTGAGATCTCTATGGTGAAGTCTGAAACAGCACGATTGCTTTCACCGAAGTGTCCCCTTTAGTCAGAGTAACCTCAGAGTAGCAATTTTTCAAACTAATTGTGTCTACGTTTTGGATTCTGAGACATGAAACTATCCATTACACAAAAGTAGAACCTATCAGCCTATACTTACAGGAGAACTAAACTTTTTTGAGATGCCTTGATAATTAAACATTCTATTTTTTGCCAAACTCCTCTTCCTGCGACGGATTGCCTCTCTCGCTTAAAGACACTACCATCTAGTCAAACAGGTGAGAAACTTTAAAGTCGTCTTTAATGCCAGTTTTGCCCTCATCCCCAATATCTGTGTGGCTGCCATGTCTTATCTCTTTGACTTCAGTTTTGCTCCACATAAATCCACTCTCTTCCCTCTTCCCCCACTGTCTAGGCCTTGAGCCTAGATTGGCCTTAAGCCAGCCTAGGCCTGGATTGTTGAAATGGGTTCATTAATCCCCTCACCTACAAGATTCGGGAGCTGCAGTAGTAGAAAGTATCATAAAAGAATAACTCAGGGGGTTGATGGGGGGTTGGGGGGGTGGGTGATGGGTATTGAGGAGGGCACCTTTTGGGATGAGCCCTGGGTGTTGTATGGAAACCAATTTGACAATAAACTTCATATACTGAAGAAAAAAAAAAGAATAACTCAGGGGGGCCCAGTTCTAGAGTATCTGAAGATTCTGCTCTTTCATGAAGCTCATGTCCCATAGGTCTTCTAGATTGTCAAGAGTCTTCAGAAGGCATCTCCATTTGTCCACAGCTGTTGGAGAACATGGCAGACAGTGGAAGAAGGAAGTTATATCAGCCAACCATTTCTCTTTGTATTCCACTAATGTTTAAATCTCACTGAACATCAGAACATCTTGAAAATACAATTGCTTAAAAGGTATAGAGACACAGAAACAACCTAACACTAATAAGAATGGTATAATAATTACCGTGTGTGTGTGTGTGTATATATATATATATATGTATGTGTATATACATATATACAATATATAATAATAATGGTATTTTTCAAAACTGTGAAAACCAAGAAACACAGAAAAGCATTTCTTACATGATGCCAACAGGAAATTGAATCATCATGGGCCTTGCAAAAATCTTAAAAAAAAAAATACAATATGTGGGGCGCCTGGGTGGCTCAGGTGGTCAAACATCAGACTTCACCTCAGGTCATGATCTGACGGTTTGTGGGTTTGAGCCCAGTATCGGGTTCTGTGCTGACATCTCAGAGCCTGGAGCCTGCTTTGGATTCTGTGTGTCTCTCTCTTTCGATGCCCCTCTACCACTCACCTTCTGTCTCTCTCTCTCAAGAATAAATCAACATTAAAAAGAAAAATACGTACAACATGCAGGGGCGCCTGGGTGGCTCAGTCGGTTGAGCATCCGACTTTGGCTCAGGACATGATCTCGCAGTTTGTGGATGCCAGCCCTGTTTCGGGCTCTGTGCTGGCGGCTCAGAGCCTGGAGCCAGCTTCAAAATATTGTGTCTCCCTCTCTCTCTCTCTGCCCCTCCCCGGCTTGCACTCTCTCTCTCTCTCAAAAATAAATAAAAATTTTAAAAAAAATTGTAAATAAAAAAAATATATACCACATGTAAAAATGGGATTTCAGTTAGGCGGATTAAATGCTGGGTCATTTATAGCTGTTTTCATGTATTCTTGTTGTTTGCTCTTGCATTTGAAATAAGGAAGAAATGAGCCCCCTAAGCAACTAAACTGTTTACAGTTCTCGGAAGGTTCCATTTATGAAGACCAGTGACTCAACGTGCTGAAGGTTTATCCCCAGGATTTAGCACGTCCATAATGCTCTCATAGATGCGGGGAGCCTATTTGCTCTGCCCATCAGATCTTTGCTTTGGAACAAAGTCAGTTGCGGGGCTCCTGGTCTCCACTCCCACCCCAGGTCATCTCTGAGGCACCTGAGACTATATTTAGCTGCTTGTGCTACATTGTCAATCTTGCTCCGTTCATTACCCACCCGCTGTGTGTTGCAATGAAGAGGGCAGAAGCTATAAGGCTCTGGAGCCTTTGTCTCTCTCCTTGCTTTATCTGAGTTTGCAAGCACCTCCTCTTGCTTCGTTATAGCCCCTGTCCTCCTGAGTACCCGGCATTATCTGTGTATTTTTACACAGCGATTCAGATTTCGACCTGAGGCCTTTTTGATGCTCGGTGTCTTCCTACGGTGAGAGATCAAATGAGCTTAGGTTAAAATCCTGACTCTGCGACCATCACATGAGGTGACTCTGAACAAGGTTCTGAGCTTGAGTTCCTTACTTCTAAAATAGGGATAAGGAAAAAAATGGTATAACTAGGGATACCATGAAAGGTGATAAAGAAAATTAGATTGCCCACTGAAATTAACACTGAACAGATCAGAGCTGGGATTTCAGATGGGCAGAGAGAGGAAAAGTGGGTCCCAGGCAGGCAACAATGGACTGTAAAGGGATTGAGGGCATTAATATATCTGAACAAATAATATGTTGATTTCTAAAAGGGATTAATCATGGAAACCCCAAACTGGAGCCTCACTGAAGCACAAGTAGGCAGTGCCCACCCCTGCTCTCTGCAGCGGGGTCAGCCTTGGCCAAATAGATTTTGATTATTCACAGCCCGTTGGCAAAGCTAACCTCAGTTTGGAGATTTTAGCCTGGTCATTTTAAATATTTTCAACATCTAACTAACTTTAAAGAACCTGCCCATGGCGTCCCATTGTACTTAAGAAAAATTGAAACTTCTCACCCAGGCTGACTCATCTCTAGGTGACTTGGCCCCTGCCCTCCTGCCCGACCTCATTTAAAAATGCCATTCCCCGAGGAACTGGGTGGCCCAGTAGGTTCAACGTCCAGCTCTTGACTTCGGCTCAGGTCATGATCTCACAGTTCATGGGTTCGAGCCCCATGTTGGGCTCTGCACTGGCGCTGTGGAGCCTACTTGGGATTCTCTCTTCCTCTCTCTCTGTCCATCCCCCGCTCATGTGCTCTGTCTCTCTCCTCAAAATACATAAATAAACTTTGAAAAAAAATTTTAAAAAAAGAATGTCGTTCCTTCTGGTGCTCACAGAGTTCCAGCCACTCTGGAGGGAGTCAGCACCTACCCTGTGGTCTTGGCCTGGGTCTCCCCCTGACATCTCTGCATGGCCGCCCTCTTCAAGTCTTAGAACTCGCCTGAACTATATCAGCTTCCCAAGGAGGGTTTCCCGGCCACCCCATGGAAATGGCCACCCAGTTCACTCTAATACATCAACCAATTTTTTTGCCTACATAGCACTTAGGCTTATCTAAATTGTCTTGGCCACTTCTGTGATTACTTGTTTACAGTCTGTCTGCCCTCCTGGTTCTGAAGTTCCAAGAAAGCTCCTTAGTCTGTCCTGTTTGCCCGTGCATCTCCAGCACCTACCATGGGGCCTTCATTGGTGGAATAAATAAACAAAAGAATGAACCAATGAACTGCCCTTGCTTTTATTTTGTTCATGCCTACCAAGCTGTCTGATCAGGATTTGGTGGCCCACTGGAAAAGAACATTAAACTGATGGTACAGAGGTGAGTATTTTTTCTCATCCCTGTAATAGTTGTGATTCACTTTGGAATCATTTTTGTATAATCTTTTTATATATGAGTCTAAGAGCTTGGAAACTATTGTTAATGTTTATTAGTATCAGTATTTACTGATATGCTAGGCATAGATGGGAACTTTACCATCTTCACAAAATAGAATCTATGAGGTTAGTGCTATTACTGCCCCCTGTGACAGATCAGGAAACTGAGGCTCAGAGAGCGTAAGTGACTGTGTAAGTTCTCATCATAAGGAATGGCAGAGACAAAATTTGAATCAGGGTTCATCTGACTCCAAAGCTGGTGTGTTCCTCCCTAGCCCGACAGGGGACACCCAGCTCCTCCCCTTCCCCACTCCAAGGATTCAGCTCACCCTGCCTTGGTCTTTGGTGATGATGATTCTACCTTGTCGCATCCCTTGCAGAGGCCTGGCCACCGTGCAGGGAGCATGAGCCAGGGAGAGGGGCAGAGGGAGAGAGAGAAAGAATCTTAAACAGGCTCCATGCTCAGCACTGAGCTGGACTCAGGGCTTGATCCCATGACCCTGGGATCATGACCTGAGCCAAAATCAAGAGTTGGACACACAGTCAACTGAGCCACTTAGATACCCTGACAACCTTTTTATTTTAAACTGTGGCAAGATATTCCTTTTTATAGCTCTCTTCTCTTCCCTTTAGGGAAGGAGTGAAGACACCACCTGTTGTTTTTTGTTTGTTTGCTTTGCTTTGTTGTTTAGAACCTCAGTTCTTCATATATCGAAGGTCAAAATTGAGTATGCCGATCAATAATAATAAATGCTGTTCATTAAATTGGGGCTTGGAGGAACAGCTAGGTTCCCTGATTAACTGGGAAGCCTGACATTTGTATAGCCCATAACTATTTACAAAGGGCTTTCACTCCATTATCTCATTCTCCCCTCACACTGGCCCTCGGAGAGGCAACTTGGGCCGGTGAAGGCGAGGCAGTCTTGGAACGAGTAAACCTGGGTCTACACGCCAGCCCATCACTGAGGAGCTGTGTGACCTTGCGCCGGTCACTCCGTCTATCTGAGTGCCTCATTTATTTTTTATTTTGAATTATCATACAATGAACTTGACTTTTTGGAGCGCCTGGGGTCAGGTCATGATCTCATGGTCCATGAATTCAAGCCCTGTGTTGGGCTCTGTGCTAACAGCTCAGAGCCTGGAGCCCACTTCAGATTCTGTGTCTCCCTCTTTCTCTGCCCCTCCCCCGCTCACGCTCTGTCTCTCTCTTCTTCAAAAATAAATACACATTAAAAAAATTTTCAAAAATGAACTTGACTTTTTAAACATCTTGGTGGGTAGTTCTCTGAATTTCAACATGTATACAGATGAGAGTATATATACCACCACGGAGTGCAAAATAATTCCGTCTCCCAAAACACCTCCCTCATGCTATCTCTATAAACACACTCTCCTCACCTCTAACCTCTGGTGACCACTGATTTGCTCTCCATCCCTCTAGTGTAGTCTTTTCAAGAACATTATACAGTGGAGTCTATACAGGGTGTCATATTCTGAGGCTGTCTTCTTTTGCTCAGCATAACATGTTTGTGATTAACCCAAGATCTCCTGTGTATGAATAGTGGACTCCTTCGTGTCCATTCCATTGTATGGATGTGCCACACTTTGCTTACTCTTTCACCTGGAGAAGGACACTCGGGTGGTTTCCTGAGTTTTAAGTCTCTCGTTTTTTTGTTGTTGTTTTTGTGTTTATTTTTTACAAATTTTAAAAAACTGTGGTGAAATACACATAGCATAAGATTTACCATCTTCCTTATACAATTTAGTGGCATTTAGTACATTCACTATGTTGTCTAACCATCACCAACTTTTCCAGAACTTTCTCATCATCCCAACTAGAAACTCTATGCCCATTAAACAATAACTCTCCATTGCTCTCTCCCCCCAGCCCCTGGTAACCTCTGTTCCACTTTCTGTCTCTCTGAGTTTGCCTATTCTAGGAACCTCATATAAGTGGAATTATATAATGTTTGTCCTTTTGTGTTTGACCTAGTTTACTTAACACAATGTCTTAAAGGTTTATCATGTTGTAGCATGTATCAGAATTGCCTTCCTTTTGAGGCTGAATAGTATTTTGTTGTGTGTATATTCCACATTTCATCTGTGCATTCATCTGTTGATGGATGCTTAGGTTTTTTCCCACATTTTGGTTATCATGAATACTGCTACAAAGAACATGATATACAAATATGTACAAATATCTCTTTGAGAACTTGCTTTAGTTTCTTTGGGTATCTACCTAGAAATAGAATTGTTGGATAATATGGTAAGTTCTATGTTGAGCTTTTTGAGGAATCGCCAAATCGTCTTCCGCAAGGGGTATGTTATATTACA